AGAGGTCATGTCGTGTGTTTCCTGTTTCTGCAGCTGCAGTGGAGCTGCTCCCTGTGTGGGAGTTTGTACACACAGGTAAGTACAACACACACTGTACACACACTGAATACACACTGTACACACACTTCACACACACTGAATACACACTGCACACACACTGAATACACACTGCACACACACTGAATACACAATGTACACACACTGAATACACACTGCACACACACTGAATACACACTGTACACACACTGAATACACACACTGCACACATACTGAATACACACTGCACACACACTGAATACACACTGCACACACACTGAATACACAATGTACACACACTGTACACACACTGCACACACACTGAATACACACTGTACACACACTGAATACACACACTGCACACATACTGAATACACACTGAATACACACTATACACACACTGAATACACACACTGCACACATACTGAATACACACTGCACACACACTGAATACACACTGCACACACACTGAATACACAATGTACACACACTGAATACACACTGCACACACACTGAATACACCCTGTACACACACTGAATACACACACTGCACACATACTGAATACACACTGAATACACACTATACACACACTGAATACACACACTGCACACATACTGAATACACACTCTTCACACACACACTGAATACACACTGCACACACACTGTACGCACACTTCACACACACACACACACTGAATACACACTTCACACACACTGAATACACACTGTACACACACTGAATACACACTGTACACACACACCACACACACTGAATACACACTGTACACATACTGAATACACACTGTACACACACTGAATACACACACTGCACACATACTGAATACACACTGAATACACACACTGAATACACACACTGTACACACACTTCACACACACACTGAATACACACTTCACACACACTGAATACACACTGCACACACACTGAATACACACTGTACACACACTGAATACACACTGCACACACACTGAATACACACACTGGACACACACTGAATACACACACTGAATACACACTGCACACACACTTCACACACACTGAATACACACTGCACACACACTGAATACACACTGTACATACACTGTACACACACTGAATACACACTGCACACACACTGACTACACACTGCACACACACTGAATACACACTGTACACACACACACACACACTCTAAGAGTTAATTATTATTATGAACACTTTCTCTCTCTTCAGTCTTGTTCCAGTTCTCAGTGTCGTTCGACCTGCTCAGTCTTTCAGTCCAAAGCAAAGTAAGAATCCTCTTCCTCCTCCTCCTCTTCTTCCTCTTCTTCTTCCTCCTCCTGTCACTCCTTCACTCTGAGGACATTCTCTGTTCTTCATAGAACTTCACATACACAGAAGGATTTAAAATTCATTCACGCTCACTTTTCTTTTACACTTAGTTGCTAATGTAGTTGCTAAGGTAACATGTTACCTTAGGTAACATAGCTGCTAACATAGTTGCTAAAGTAACATTGTTGCTAACATAGTTGCTAAGGTAACATAGTTGCTAACGTAGTTGCTGATGTAAGATTGATGATGTATTGATCTGTGTATTGATCAGATTGGTGATTGATGATGGGACAGGTGAGGCTCACGTGTGGTTCTCAGGTGCTCTGGTTCGTTCTCTGCTGGCATTGGCTGATTCTCAGTGGGAGGGGCTCCAGAGGGCCCTCAGGGTCAAAGGTCACATCAGAGTCTACCCCCGGGGCCGGAGCGTGGTCAGTACCACTTCCTGTTTTTAGCATCTGTCTGTGGACCAATCAAACATGTTTGATGATGTCACCGCCTTTACCTCTACTGCACCTTCACCTGTCTCTGTCACTCAGGTGTGTGACACTGACTCTGACGACTCTCTCCTCCACTTCCTGTTGTGTGTGTGCAGCAGTGATGTTGTTTGTCGCCCGCTCTCTCTCACCTGCAGGAAGCACAACAACCAGAGACCAGAGGGTAACACACACACACACACAAACACGCACGACTGGACCGTGACTGAGCCGAAGTTCAGCTGAAGTTCAGCCGGAGCTCAGAGTTCATGTTGATGTTTGTGTTTCAGAGATGAGGAGGTTCAGTCGAGGAGACAGAGACTTCATGACCAGGATGACTGCTCCTCTGCAGCTCACCTGTCTGCACATCACTGACTGATACACCTGACGTGGTCATGTGACCTACACCTGGATCAGGTAGAAAGCCGTGAGGACAGAGCAGGTCAGACCATATCTGGAGGAGGTCTGGTTCATGTTCTCATCAGGTCACCTGACTTTGACTGTACCTGAGGCTGCAGGTGTCAGACAGGAAGTGGTTTGAGGCGTCACATCTCTGATCCTGAGTCTGATCGTGAGTCCTGAGACCCTCAGACCAGGTGTTAGACCTTCAGATCAGGTGTTAGACCCTCAGACCAGGTGACTTAAAGCTCTTTTCTAATAAATGGATAATAATAATAATATAATAAATCGATGTAACTTATTAAACCTTTCGTTTTTCTCCTGCAGTTTGTGTCAGTCTTGTTTTACACCCAGAATGCACACATAGAATCACACGCACATTGATTGTATGAATATGATCAGATAAATGATGATGTCATACTACAGATAAACGACTCAGCTGTTCATTAAGTCATTAATCAGCTGATGAACATATGTAAGCTTCAACTATTAAAATTCAGTCATATACTGGAGGTCATTGATTGATTGATTGATTGATTGATTGATTGATTGATTGATTGATGGATGGATGCCAGTGCTCAGAACACCTGAGCAGGTGTGACTAATGTGGCTGTGATGCGTCTGAGCTCCTCCTCTCAGCTGCTGCTCACCAACAACAAGCTCTGCTCGGTGACTGATGACACGTCAGCAGCTCATGCTCTGATTGGCTGCTGAGGAAACTTTTGAATGACAGTGAAGTTGGGAGTTTCCAGAGACTCTGCATTCAGGTGGCTGATGGGAAACAAACAGCTGATCACAGATCAGGTTAAACTACTGCTGCTGTCTGATCACATGACCATGAACCATGTTGGAGGAGAACCCGCTCCAGGTGAGACCTGGACCTGGTCCACACCTGGGACCAGCTGCACACCTTAAGTTCAGGTTTTAAAGTCTGAACTAAGGTTACCTTAAAACAAAAACAGCTGCACAGACAGAATAGGAGTCGGCTGTGATTGGTTTATGGGCTGTCACATTTTCAAAATAAAAGTCATTCCTTCAACTAAAAGCTGCTTCAAAGTAAGAGTCCTTCAAAGAAATGTAATGGAGTCAAAACAATGTTTGTCTTTAAGTGTCAGTACTGACAAATACACTGAAGTAAAATACACTGAAGTAAAAGCACTGAAGTAAAATACACTGAAGTAAAAGTACTGCAGTAAAAGTACTCAGTTACTGTCCACGCTGACACAAGCAGTTGAGTGATGAGGATGAGGAGGATGATGAAGATGATCCAGCAGGGGGCGTCTGAGCTCCTCCTCTCTACTGCTGCTCACCAACAACAAGCTCTGCTCGGTGACTGATGACACGTCAGCAGCTCATGCTCTGATTGGCTGCTGAGGAAACATTTAAATGACAGCGGAGAGTCGGGAGTTTCCAGAGACGCTGTGCTCAGGTGGCTGATGGGAAACAAACAGCTGATCACAGATCAAAGTCCTGACTGTTGTCATGACGTCTGTTTATACAGTTAGAGCAGTGGTTCTCAAGCTTCTGTCATGCCCCGCCCCCACCCCAACACCATGACAACAAACTGAGTTTAACTTGTGTATTGAAAGAAGAAACACATGATCAACCATCACATTTCTGTCAGTAAATTCTAAGGTGCAATAAAAACTTTTTGTGACATCACAACATTCTTCCATCAGTCTTCACTTCGTCAACAAAAGAGAAGAAAGAAATTAAGTCTGCACTTCGTTACAAACATAATAAAGATCCGTCTAATAAAAAAGAACAGATGCAGATACTGGGCAAGTCACTTTGTAAGAACCTAGGTCTTATCATTATCTTTAGTGGCTGCAGTCCGCCTATTGTGCACCGCACGTCTTTAAACAGGTCGCAGGTTGATGCTGCCTCTCTCCTGTTGTTTGGGAAGCTCTGTGAAAGAGTCCTTTCAGGGAAGAGACGTGCTTCTTCAGACATGGACACTGTGGAGGCTCCAGCAGGAATCAGGAAGGAATCAGTATTTCTTGATCAAGTCGTCTGCCCCACGTCTCGAGCTTTCAGGTGAATGCATTCATTCATTCATTCATTCATTCATTCAGCTTCATTCAGAGGAAGGCCAGTTTCATCAGAAACAGCTCATCACTAAACTTGTTTGCAAGTTCATGCATCATCTCCTCAAATAAAAACACCTGAACTTCCTCTCTGAGGTCAAAGAGCCGTGACAATGAGAGGCACCGCTCTTCTCTGAGGAACATCACTGCTGAATGTTTCGCTCCCATCTCAGAAAACAGCTGCGTGAACAACAGCGGTCCGAACCTGGTTTAGTTCAGGGCTGAGCTGCTGTGATGCTAACGCTTCTCTGGGGGTCCATTGCACATCTGACGAGACCCGCTTGATTAGAGCCGGCACCCAAGGATTCTGCGAGGATACTTAAAGATACTCAAGTCATACTCAAGTGTTTACATCACAGCTCTCAGATCAGTCTCAGCTCTTTCTTAATGACGCACCTCTTGACGTAGAGCAAAGACATCATTTGGTCCAAATGCTGAAAAATTGAAGTCTGATTTTTGAAATTCTTCAAATATCTTGTGAAAACAAACCTTTACCAATTGTTTTGGTGCTTTGACTATGTTCACCAAAGTCTATAGGTTGATAAAACAGTGCAGTGTCTGAGCAAAATAGTAGATAAATGGTCTGAACTGGATGGGAGTGGTCTGAATTGGGTCTGAACTGGTCTGGACTGGTCTGAACAGGTCTGGACTGATCTGAACTGGTCTGGACTGGATTAGACTGGTCTGAACTTGTCTGAACTGGATTGGACAGGTCTGAACTGGTCTGAACTGGTCTGAACTGGATTGGACAGGTCTGAACTGGTCTGAACTGGTCCGGACTGGATTGGACAGGTCTGGACTGGTCTGAACTGGTCTGAACTGGATTGGACAGGTCTGAACTGGTCTGAACTGGTCCGGACTGGTCTGAACTGGTCTGGACTGGATTGGATAGGTCTGAACTGGTCTGGACTGGTCTGAACTGGTCTGGACTGGGCCTTATACGTGTCATTGGACGGGGAACACCTGCAGTCTTGAGGCGGTTCTCACAGTTGAACTTACGCTGTGGGGAGAATGAGATCTTCTGGTATCGTGTGGTTTCTTTTCTTTCGTGTACTGGGCCGTGACGCCATGACGCTTGTTGTTCACTGAAGCAGCTTTTGTAAAACGTTGTTCCTGACGATATTCAGCAAGTTTTCTCTCACAAAGCTCCAGTGGCTCACTGACTGATGGTGTCAGACTGAGATACACACTGGTCTCTCCTCAGCTGCCAAGAGCCAGACAGGCTGGATCGTACTTTCTTTGTATCTTGGTTGTTGATCGCCGTGAGCTGAACACTGCGTCTCGATTGTCTTGGAGCGTCGGCAGTTTGTCTTTTCGTCTCTGTTAAATATCTGTCCATTTCACAGACGTCTCTGAACGAACATCATCGCTACTGTGAAAGATTTCTTTACTGTCCCGCCGTGAAAAAGATTCCTCTGTCACAACATTTCACCCTCCTTCATGCCCCACCTGTTATGTCTTCATGCCCCATAGGTGGGGAAGAAGAAGAAGAATAAGAAGAAGAGAAGAAGAAGAAGTAGCCCCACCTGTGGGGCATGAAGACATAACAGATGAAAGGAAAGAAGTAGTAGAAGAAGAAGAAGAAGAAGAGGAGGACCTCCTCTTCTTCTTCTTCTACTTCTTCTTCTTTTTCTTCTTCCCCACCTGTTGTGGCCTGGAACTTAATAAAGAGTTTCTGCAAGTGTCCCACTGGCTGTTCCCTCTACCCGGATCACCGTGTCCGGAGTCCCTCCGTTTGTCCCTAATGAGGCGTTAGAGAAAGAGCTCAGGCGTTTGGGCAAGTTTGTGAGTGGATTCCGCTCGGTGGGTCTGGGCTGTAAAGATATGAAACTCAAACACGTTCAATCTGCGGAGACATGTGTTTATGTTCCTAGACTCCCCCACCCAGACACTAGAAGTTTCCTTCCGTGTTAAACATGAGGAAGGGTATTATATGGTGTACGCCAGCTCGGGGAATATGAAGTGGTTTGAGTGCGGAGATGTAGGGCACAAAAGAATTGTTTGCCCCCACAGACAGCAAGCAGCGGGGGCTGCTCCGCCTTTGTGGGTACAGACTGCCGGCTCCGCAGCCGGGGATACTGGTGTTGGTGGCTCTGCGGCCGGGGAGGGTGGTGTCGGTTGCTCTGCGGCCGGGGTCTCCGTGGCCGTGGAGACGCCCACAGTCATACTGCGTCTCGGACACATCCATGCTGGACAATTTGTTTTTAATGAGGGATGTTTTTGACATTTGTAATCTGTACAGTCTTGATGTGGGTGTAGTTTCCATAGATCAGGAGAAGGCGTTTGATCGTGTTGACCACTCTTTTCTGTTTGCCACACTGCAGGCCTTTGGCATTGGGGAGCACTTCCTGTCCTGGGTGAGGTTACTGTACAGTGGTGCATGTTGTGTGCTGGAGGTGTGTGTGTGTGTGTGTGTGTGGGGGGGGATCTTAGTTGTCCTGTACCAGTCAGGAGGGGGATCAGGCAGGGCTGCCCCATCTCAGGCCAGGATAAACTGGAGGAAGAGTGGAGCTTGTCTGGCAGGGCGGTGGGTTTCAGAGTGCCCTCCTGGTCTGGGGGCCTTAGCTGGGGAACAAGAGGGGCAAAGGTTTTAAGTGTTTTTCTAGGCAACGAGGACATAGAAAGACAGATTTGGGAGGGAGTGCTGGGGAAGGTGGAAGCCAAGTTGTCTAAGTGGAAATGGCTGCTCCCCCAGCTGTCCTACAGCACAAAGAAGTGCTGAAAACTTAAATGTAATTACTATAACACTGCAATGCCAAAATAAAATGTTAAAATTACTGCATTGAAGGTTTTACTTCAGATTAAAGTAAAGAAAAAAAAACACCAAACATATATTTTTTCTTTGTACTTTTAAAGGATGGAAGTCATTTTAACGAACTACCTCTACTAAATGCTGGTAGTTAGCATACTGGAGGCTAGCAGGCTGAAAGCTAGCTGGACAGATGACAGGTTGAGAAACTGCTGAGGGCCTGGGTACAGACTGGAGGCTAGCTGACTGGGAGGTTGGATGCAGATTGGGAAAGTAGTTGAAAAGCAAGCTGGGGCTCTGGGGTGGTCTTTACACCATTCAGGCAGCGAATCTTTAGACTAGGGTTTCCTCTAAATCTCCACGTGCCACCCTCAGAGCAGCCTCTTTGTCATTACTCATGTAACCCTTTTCCACCAAGATATGAA